CATGGTGTTGGGATGCATAGTTAAACACCAGGGATAACCTTAGTTTTTACCTTTACAGTTCATAAACATCTTAATTGTGAAAATTTGTGTTTTCCAACAAAGAAGATAAAATCTCATTTCAACCATCACATGCAACCAGTAAAGAAAGTATTATCTAGGTGTGATCTGTCTGTCTCTAAATTATAATCATGATAAGGGTAAATGCAAGTCAATTGAATGTGGTACGGACTTACTAAAACATACTATATAGCCAAATTATGATATGCATTACATATGCATACATTTAGATGTATGAGTATTGCACATACTGAAAAATGTTCCAAGTAAAAGTTAAAGCTTTTAATAAGTTGGATATTACTATATACTATTTTCAAGATACTGTAATGCTGGTTAGGAAGACAGGTCTGCAGCTTTGGGAATTTAGATAAGCATTAGAGAAAATATCAAAACTTCAGCCAAAGAGAGTCTAGGTCATTACGAGTTAAAGCAAGATATATCATGGTTTGATGAAAAATGTTAAAAATTATTATATAAAAGGAAGCAGGCTGAACTGCAGTGGTTGGAGAATATAACCCAAATGAATAAAGATAGTATGACCAATGTAAGACATGAAACTATCAGAATTTTCAAGAACAAAAAAGAGAAAGGGGGGAGGGGCAATATCTGAAACACAAAATAATGAGGCAGAAACAAATAGTAATAACAAGAACATTAAAGATCTGCTAAGAGCCATAAATGAATTTATGAAGGGTTACCAACCTAGAACTAATCTGGTAAAAGATGAGGATGATGAGGTTGTTTGCAGATTCCCAAAATATTTCAAACAGGTGGAAGGTTACTTTTGTAACCTTTTGAACTTACATGACATTAATAATGTCAGACAGACTAAAATGTATATGAACCTAGTTCTTTTGAGGCTGAGGTTGCTACTGAAAAGTTGAAAAAGTACAAATGGTAAGGTTTCGATGATCAGCAGAACTCAAGCAAAAGATAAAACATTAGTCATTCTGACTAATTTGTGGATCCGTGGAATATATGTGAGTAGGTGGATCAATGCACGCATGTATTTTATACACTTTGTGCAAAGCATATGAGTCTATTGGCTGGCCAATACAAGAACTTGGCCTCCTTAGTACAATATTTCCAGACATTTTGTATACCAGATAAATGTTATTGAAATTATAAAATAACTAGAAAAACTGTACAGCAAATATTGTAAAACATTTCTTTCACTTCATAGCCAAGCATCACATGTTCATTATTCCTATTTATTTCTCAGTAAGATTTTAAAAAAAAATGAAATAAACATGTAGAAATCACCATGTTTACTTTTAGACGTCATGGCTATTCTTTTATGAACAGCGAACACACAAGACAGAGCTGATAAAAGTTAATGGACAGGAACAAAAAATTAGTTTATTTTTTCTTTAAAATAACTTAAATAAGGGTAGATATCATTCCTGCAACCATTCTGTATAAGCATTAAAATATGAACCAAAAAGTGATCAAAATTCAACAAAGAAGAATGCTTGGAAAATATTTAATTAGACTGCTAAATAGTATTGATGATAAAATTAAAATAACGTATTTCCATTAAAATAGTTAAAGTTAAAAGTGAATACTCCTGCACAGTTCTAAGAAATTGGTACCTCGTTTTAATTTATGGTTCTGTATCACAGAATCACGTAACACAGGTAATCTCTCTCTCATCTTTCGTATAATTTTAGAACCAGGATATCGTGTTCCATGGCGAACAATCATCCACATCCGAAGTACATTACAACCTATAACATAAAAATAATAATAAAATATGTGTCATCAATTTACATCTTATTGGGGATATTTAATATAACAAAAGTAAAAGTCTTACCTGGATAGTGAACAGAAGAGTCATTTTTATTGATTAAATAACGATACGGTGATTTAGTTGCAAGATACAGATGTGTTTTCTGGCTTTTGCTTAAACATTTCTCAGATAACAAGGCTGGCAATGTATTAACACAAATGAAACAGACCAGCATCCATTGGTAGGTTCCCTCCATTTCAGCTGTAAAAAATATGCCCAGGAAGACTGAAAAATCACCACTATAATCTTAACAATCCATCTTTATATAAAGTTTCTGGTAGTGTAGAAGTCTATAAAATATATCCTAAACATTAGTGCAACAGTCATTTTGATACAGTTCAGAATCCATTACAATGTTTAATGCAAAATTGTTTCCCATATTCATGAACTGTCATCATGCAAAATTGCATACATTATTTAATTCTATATGCACTATGTGTTGTGGTCTCCTATGGCATTATGACCTCTATATACTAGGATTATTCAACAATGAACATGGAAGAAAGAAATTTACAGATAAGCCCTGACTGCAGTAACACTAACAGATTTGTATGTGGTCAGATACATAAGATATCAGGAGCTGACAGTATAATGATGACCAAAGGAATGGGACATGCCACTGAAGAAGATGACATTCATAAAGCTATATCACCCAAGCTACAGGATTGAAGCAGTAAGAAGTATCAAAATATTTAAGAAATTCCAGGCTGTTTATGACCCAAACATTCAACACAATCTCCATAACGGAACACCACACACTAATGAAACAAGTTATCACTTGTCTTCTCTACCCAATACAAATAGTTTTTTACATTACCATTTTATTATCTAACATGAATTCTGACTGATTGAGCTAAGAAGTCAAGAAGCATATCACTGTACTGCACACATTTGAAAATCAGATACTAACATTACAATGAATTATGATATGTCAGCAGTGAATTTTCTAGGTATAGGGAAATTTTATTAAGAATCCTAATAGTTTCTGCTTTGTACCAGAGTTCATCGTATGACTACACACAAAAAGGAACAGGAATTGGTAAAAGCAACATCTCATTTCTATTTTCTATAAATTTATTCACTCAACATATTATATTGCAGACTGCTGACCATGACTTGCCTGATAGGGTTGACTGTGTATTACTTAGGTTATGTGTACATTTTTTAAATCTTGGGGATGGAGAAGGCATCACTTAAGCAGTGGGTAAAGTTTGTTTAGCGTAGCATTGAGGAGATCTTCTAGATATTTTACTGCGAAATTGGCGATCTAAATACTAAACAAAACTGCATTACAAGAAAATGGGTTAAAACCATCTGAAAGTATTCTATGGACCTGTTCAGATTTTTACACTCAAGGCGAAGGATTCTCGTGAATTGATAATTTCGTTACGACAGGGATTTATCTTGTATAATGATTTATTTTGCAATAGTAAATAGTCGGGGTGTACAAATTCGACTTAATTACATATAAACTGGATTGCTAATTTGTCGCGTCATTCACCATAAAACTAGAATTTTTATATTAAAAAGGGAAATTCGTGACATTTTGTTGTAATTTGAGTTCATAAAAATTCCTGTTTGGTAAAACAAATTACCTCACTGCAAGTTCAAAGAATAAATCCTCCTTGCATAAACCGATGTAAACATCAACTTCTCAGAGGTTATGTTACGTACTACATGACTTGTAACCGTAATCACGACATTAACATCAAGTAATCAGTTGGGTTTGCACAAGCACAATACAATGTGTAACGTATAACTTTCCCACAGAACTTGTAAAGTTGAAGTAATCCGTGTTGTAAATATTATTATAAAGCGGGGCATACGTACCACATGACAGGAAAGTAAGATAGCGGTCTCTTCGAAGTACTTATACAATGGAAAAGTACGACGTTTTAGGTTTGGTTGGTGAAGGATCTTTCGGTCGAGTATATAAAGCAAAATGTCTCAGAACAGATGAAATAGTAGCTTTCAAAATTATACAGAAGGTATGTACTAAGAACAGAATTATCAGACGTATTATTTTAATGAATTGGTGTCAACTAGACCCATGCATACAGAAGGGCTGATACTGAATTGTAAGTAGTGAAGTGTGACTGATGAAACTGAAATTTCTTTTAGGGCTATGCATAGTATGGGTCAATACACCATGCTGATAAAACATCGGCAGTTGTTATTATCTTCTCATAGCATATTTCCCTTAGTAGGTAGATGTAAATTCTGCTTGTAAATGTCACAAATTAAAGGTATTGATGCAGATTAATGTGTGTGTTCCTTTTAGTTAACTTTACCCAACCGTATCGAAACCAAGACCAACATGAAAGAACATATAGGTATGCTCAAAAACTGTCCTCCACCATGGGGACGTGGTACCAAATTTGTACCAACATAACCAACAATTTAATACTGTATATTAAGTAATGTGTGTTGGTTTAAGAGTAATACTGGTAATGTGTTGTTGACGTAAAGCTCTTGAATTTTTTAAAGCATAAAATTGCTATTCCATGTCATTTTCATTTAACTGTCAGTTTTTACATATAGGTTACTTGCTAACCGTCATCACACTAATATTTTAAATTATAGGTACTGGTGTACAGTTACAGTTTCAGTAGCATCTCTGAGTGGTTAATGTATAGCCTTGCAATGAAAATTACACTTGGTTATTAAAACTATGCAACCATTACCTTTTTTTATAGCGAGGGCGTTCTGAAAAAGAATTAAGGAGTTTGAGACAGGAATTTGAAATTCAGCAACACCTACACCATCCAAATATCATACAGATGCTGGATTCATTTGAAACAGGCAATGAGGTAGTGTACAATGTGAGTTCAAGAACAATATTATGATCTTGACTTAATTTCTTTTAATCATTGTATGCCTTTGTATTGTTTGATTTTAGATTGTGGTGGTAACTGAATATGCTGACAAGGAGCTATATGAAATTTTAGGAAAGGAAGGTTATTTGCCAGAAGAGCGAGTACGTAAGATTGTTTGTGATTTAGTTTCTGCACTTTATTACTTGCACTCACACAGAGTTCTTCATAGGTATGTAATTTGGTATCTTTTGTATACTGTCATTGTGTGTTTAGTCATATCTTGTTTTTACCATTATTTTAGGATTTGATCAAGCTTATGTTGATTTATTCTCATTTTTATTGTATTATATTAACTACTGAAATTATGAATAGTAATAATATTTTTACTTGAGTATGCATATTTTGTATATTAGAATTGAATTTATACATTTTTTAGGACTTTACATGTGGGTAATCCTTTAAATATGAATCTCTGTCTTACCTGCTATCCTATTTATTATTCCTTCATTATATCTATTTATTCAATACACATTTTGATCATAATCTTACAAAATCTCAGCAAACTGGAGAGCAAAAACTGGAAGGCACTCACACTAAAATAATAACCTAGATGTAGATGACAGCAGTATAGGTTTTTCCCCCCATAGGTAACTTAATGTATTATAAACTAACTTATTTACTAAGTAGTTTTACTTGAAACTTCAGTAGCAACTTAGTCATTGGTTTGGCTGCCATTTTATCACATCCTTCCCTTCTTGGCCTACTTACTTTGCAAGTCTGATGATACCAGCATATCTATGTTGTGTTATTTCTCCAAATAATGTTTGAACCATCTTGATAGAGAACATCGTGTTTATATTTTGTAATTAACTAAGTAGCCGTTTATGAGATGCTAATAGTTGGCTGAGCTGGTCAAGAAATTCCCAGCCTTTCATTAATCTAAAGGTTTATTGCTCTGTTCATAAGACCTCACTAGAGTTTTTACTTTCCTTCCTTTAATACCAATATTGAAACTCCTAAGGTGGGAGTGACATTAAAGTTATATAGTGTTTTGTCCTTTAATTGTATGTAATGATAGTTCTTCAACAGCTCTGATAGCATCAAATGATCGGATGATAAATTAATAATGAATTGGAAAGTATGTGAAAGAAAACAGTTGTGACCTAATTTAAAGTGTTGGTTTGTATTTGCCTAGGGGGAAACCATAAAAACACAGAATAGGCAGTCTTTAAGGTGATATTTGAATCCAGGACCTTCCAAATACTGTCCCCTGATATGATTAGGTGAAACTACCCAGTATGTTACTTAACAGCTAAGAAAGATTAATTTTTCAGTTTGCTGAACCATTATAGAACTGTTCCATCAATAATGGTGTAATGGTAACTGTGGACGAAACATTGGTCACTTGGTATTTTGTGTTCATTTATGTAACTTATCACATAACAAAAAATACTGCATGAGTTAAAACTGAATTAAGAGCTAACATGATTTATTTAACACACATTTATTTTTGGTGTTGTCTGTGTGAATGTTCTGCAGTTCTGCCCCCCCCCCCCTCTCCATCTACCCTTGTTGAATAATTCGGAAATTAATGTTTGCATTTCATAGGGATTTAAAGCCACAGAATATTTTAATGGAAGCCAATGGAGTAGCAAAGTTATGTGATTTTGGATTTGCTCGTAGCATGAGCACTGGTACATATGTTTTAACATCCATCAAAGGTACACCTCTCTACATGGCCCCAGAGCTCATAGAAGAGAAACCCTATGATCATAATGCCGACCTTTGGTAAGCATATAAATAAGATCACTGTTCCTGTAATTTATGTAAACTATTTTGTAGACTGTTGGAATGTGTAGGTTATAGAAATCCCTCCATTTTCCATTTCACACAAGTTTTTCTGGACTGTATCTTAGTCCATCTAGTATAGTACAGGTCTACTTAATCTTGCACATAATGCAGCGTGCTGTAGATTCATATGACTTCCACAATAAACACATAGATAAATTGGTTGACATCCATATTTCCTACCTCAGTTCTTTCCTGACAGATAAGTTAAATCATAGTATTAGTGTAATAAATTTACAGGTCTTTGGGATGTATTGTTTATGAATTGCTTGTGGGCTCTCCACCATTCTGTACTTCATCCATTTTGCACTTGGTACGATTGATTCGTCATGAAGCTGTTAAGTGGCCAGATTTCATTTCGCCTACATGTCAGAATTTCATTCAGGTAAGTGATTCAGTTTTTATGCCCAGAATTCTTGGTTCATTTGTGTGTATGAAGTATTATGTCACCTTTTCTTGTTTTCAAATAGGGTTTACTTCAAAAGGATCCAGGGCAACGACTGACATGGCCACAGTTGCTGGAACATCCATTTGTTAAAAATGGTGTCCTTATTCTTAAGGAAGAAGGTAATCTTAAAATTGTAACAAATGCACTGTGGCTTGACTTTAGAAAAGCCTTATGAACTTTTCCTTCCTGTTTAAATACAATTCAAAACAACAATAAGAATCTATAACATGGTGAGATTTCAGGTTCTGACAGTGACAAGTTTGAAGATCACTATTTTCTGGGAAGTTGTGCTATATATCCTGCAGATATTGAATGACATTTCAGAGTAGTTTACTGCCTCCATAATCACCATATTGATAGAGGCAGTAAACTCCTCTAAAAAGTCAGTATCTACCAGACTACACAGTGCAACATCCCAATATGCCACCATTTTCTGTCTGTAACTTCCTTACAATTGCAAGTAATAAATAAGAAGAGTGTAACTCTGGTAAGATATGGTAAGATTCTGCCCTAAGACCACCTACACACAAACCAAACATGCTAACTCGTGAACTAAAATTTTCATGTTATTATTAGTGTATAAACTTGTATTATTTAAATATAACATCAACTCAAGATTTGTAGGACAGGAAGTCTGTGCAATAGGAAAGTAGACTTTGTGAGTTTTGTCTTGAACTTGTTGTGTATATTATCATTGCCCTGCTTATTATAACAGCTTCCCTCAGCTTCAGTAGTTTGACGCACATCGATTTCTGTGGTCCAAAAGGTATTTTACCAGTTTAGTTTTTCTCTATTGTTATGGTGATGAAGGTGTGGTATTAAAGAATGGCTAGTGATGGTTTTATTAGAAGATCTTTATGGATCCAGATATAGAAACTGAATTGGTTTGCTCTTTTGCAACTTTGTTTTTATTTTTATTTTTACTTTCTTTTATACATGGAACAGTTCCTGTAGTAATGGGATTTGGACATATTTATCTATGCAGTAATGCATTTTGTAATAATGATTTTTCTGTCTGAATCAAGAGTGGTTTTACCAAATTTTAAATCTGTCCTAAAGGAAGAGACACTTCCTTTCAGTTTTTAAATCGTATTTTTATAACATTGTTTATTTCTTAGGTGCAGCAACTCCACTCACAAACCCTCTAACTGCTTCTCAGGTCATGGCCAAAGAAATTCAGAAGCAAGATTTGGTTAATCAGACAGCAGGTCAATCCAAGTAAGAGGACTTTCTTTAAATTACTGTGATATTATGAATTTGGAAAAGATCTAGTTTAGTTTTCTCATATACTTTTCTGAAAATATTCAGATTTCAAGACATGCGTAATAAAATGTATGGAGTTTTGTAATGAATGCCTGATGAGTTCATGATTTCATGTTGTGTGTTTGAATACCTATATGAGTTGTACAAATACAAAAAAACAAAGAAACAGTGAAGGGAATGTGTTGAAGCCTAACCACAACAGGTTAGAGAAATACATTTATTTCTATGCTTGGTATGTCCTGAGATTTTGCTTATATACATAACATGAAATATAATGTAATTTATATTGTGCTCAGTAGCCAAGGGAAAATTATTATAAATATTTTATCATATAGGAATATACATCCATTCTTATATACTGTCTTGAAAAAGATAATAGGTACATATGTGACCACTTTTTAACCTCCATTATGATTTCCAGAATTTTGACTCCAGCAGTACAAAGAATGGAAGAACATGAAAAAAAGTTGAAATTGTTGCATCAAAAGACTGAATGTACCTCGAATATTAGTACAGTTACATGTAATCAGACTGTGAAAAACACCATAGTTTCCGGTAGAAATGTATTATCTCCATGCGAGACTTTGACAACAAGGAGCTGTAAAGTGATTGGTTCTAAGTCTGATTCTGGCTGCAGTGATGAAAGAAATAAACTAAGCAAATCAAGCACAGATTCTGATGTTGTTGTAGCTCTTGATACAAAGAAAATGCTACAGAGTATGTCACAAGTATGCCATGTTAGTGTTCATAATAAAAAGAACTTTGAGTGTGTTTCATCAGTGACAGGGAAAAGTACTTTGTCATTAAGGGGAACACAACATATAAGTGTATTACCATCTAATGGAGCTAGTCAGATTGGTGCTTCATTTCCAGGAGATGTTGATGGACTTGTGAAAAAACTGAAGGTTGCCAGTCTTGTTGTAAGTGGTGAGAGAAATGTGTGTGATAGTGGAAATTTATCTCAGAGCAATTCAAAACATGTAAATTCAGATACAGAAAAATTGGAACAGAACAGTTTGAGTGCACATGTGAGCCAAGAATATAGTGCTGATAAGTTTAAGCCAAAATATTTATTGAGCAAGAAAAAAGGTGGCACTTGCCTGTACCAGAGTCGTGGCATATTCACACTCCATAGTTGGGACTCAGCTGTAAATACACACCCCATTGAAAGTGATGAGTGGCTGGCATTCTTGCAACGCACTATGGAGGAAGTAATGGATGGGGATGTTGATGCAATGCAGCAATGTAATTTTGTTGGTGTAGTAGTGTCACCCCTCCGTAATCCTGGGGCCAGTTCTCGAGTCATGGAGTATGTGTCATGTCTCCTTTCATTACCATTTGTTGTAAATGAAGTCATTGAAGAGGAGATTTTGAAAATCCAACAGGTAATAAAAAATTTTATTTAGTATATTTAAAATGAGAGAAAAACCTGAGGCAGAAGGTGAACAAAAAATATTTAGTCACACAGACAACTTCATTATTGTGACAGAAGAAAGCCTTGCTACTTTGAATGTTGTAAATTAAATAACAAGTTTAGGATTAAATTATGATCTCTGCTTTCATTTATAAGCTTCTGTTTATTCAATGAGCTAGCAAGAAATATAAGTTAATAATTATACAGTTTAGAGAGGAATTTCTGCTTTTTGTCATACTTCACTGAAATTCTTAAATTTTATAAAATCCAACATGAAGGAAGTGAGATTTCAGTTGCTTACAGCAGAAAATATGAAGTTGGCGCTGTTGTTCTGATAGAAGAAAAGTCTGAAGGGAATTGAGCATGACCAGGAAGATGGAAAATGTAACATTATATAGCCAGGGCAACTTTAAGAAGTTGTCAAGCATAGTGTTGAAATTTTACCATGGCAAAACAGACTTGTACCACTGCCTGTTTATTTTGTACAAAACATTATAAACTTCGGTTATTTATAAATGGAACCACCTGTACTGGAGATAAACTGTAGTTCTCAGTATGCATGATTTGTTCTCATTCTGGTGGGCATTAGGTAGAAGTCAGAGTACAATTTCGGTTTCTTTAAAAAATCTTGTTCAAAGGAAAGTGCAGGTAATACAACAGTCTGTTGTAAGTTTCACTTCATTTTAATGTTTATAACAAAGATTGCTAACAATTACACACCCTGCAATCTCGTTCTGTAGTTTTAATAATGAAAAGTCCTTTCTTGACAAAGTAATTACTAGATTTGTATATCTTTATAAATAAAATAATGTTGATCTTTAACTTAATGTGTTTTCTTTTTAACAGATATATCTTGAGGTGAAGGTAGTCCCTAACTTAGTGTATGCCTCAAAACTACTTGCACGTCAAAAAGCTTATGACAGTGATGATCTTGGCCCATCCTTCAGTGGGAACCTGCTTCGTCAAGTATCTGATCTCAGTGCAGATGAACTTCAAGCTTTAGAATGTATATATTTGTTACTGTGTCATCTAACATATGCAGCTGAAGACTTCCTGATCCAGTTTTGTGATGCAGTAGCAATCCTCAATGCCACATCCCTGCTTCAGCAATTTTTGCTACTGGGTCGTAGGAAAATAAGAGTTGTTACTGATCTGGTGGCTATCTTATGCCATGTTCTTCGAGTATTGCCCGAGAATGCTGGTCTTATAGAGCAGATTGTCCTGGGAATGGATACAAAAGGTAAGCAAACTTTTAAAAACTACCGACAGAAATGGATTGTATGACCATTTTACATATTAAAATATAAAATAAGTAAACAAACAACTATTAACACTATAAAAAAGACACTATTGCCATACGCGTTTCAACCTCAAGAGGTCATCATCAGTGGCATCAGGGAAATTAATTCATTTAATCAAATGGTTTAAACTGGATTTAGAATATAAAATAAGTAACTTATTCTATATTGTAATACACTACATGGTATACAAAGTTTTAAGATTTTATATATTGTATTTCATCATATGTTACAAGCACATACTTTGTGTGAAAGTTCAGTAAAACTAAACAAAACATCAGCTGTTAATCTGACATTTTATATCACAACACTCTTAATCCTTCATTGTCATATTTATATATAGCGCAGGAGTAACTTCTAAAAAGTCTTGTAGTTTTTAATGCTATTTATTTTGATAATGGAATGTGTACGGACAGTAATTTTGAATTTCTGTGAAATATATATCACAATACATTTCTTTGAAAAACATTTTAGGTTGCTATTTGTTTTATTAATTTCCAGCTGTACTTCTTGATCGTTTGTATACTTTACCATTTAAATTAATGAAAACTGGTATGTGCCAAAAAGGACATTGACTGTCAGTGGTTCTGGTTTGATAAAATTCCACAAATATAAGGGGGGTGGGCTTACTATGTTACTGCTAGGTCCAGAGTATGCCACTTTTACAAAGGCTCTTGAAACATTTGGAAGGCCTGAGATACAAGATTTTGAAAACAAAAGGTCGAAGTAAAAGCACCTAAAAACAAACAAATTTTTTTCTCAAACTGGGGAACAATAAAACATGGAGTTCCCAAGGGTCAATTTTAGGGCCCTTGCTTTTTATAATATACATAAATGACCTTCCTCCAACAATAAATACTTTAACAGAACCCATAATATTTGCTGATGACACAAGTGTCATAATTTCTAATAAAAATTTTGATGATTTCCCTTCAACATCAAACATAGTTCTGTCTCATATGAGTAAATGATTTACTGCTAACAAGGTGGCCCTAAATCTAGATAAAACGAATATAATAAAATTTATAACAAATAACTCACCACAGCTTGCTTTAGGTATTGGTTATAATGGGAAGTATATACAAGAGTCAATAAACACAAAATTCTTGGGTTTGCAAATTGATAATCACCTAAATTGGACAAATCATATTGATAAACTGATACCTAAGTTAAGTGGCACATGTTACGCAGTTTGATCTCTGTTGCATGTCAACAACACTGACACACTCAAATCAGTATATTTTGCCTATTTTCACGCTATAATGAAGAATGGGATAATTTTTTGGGGTAATTCATCAAACAGTAAAAAAATATTCACTTTACAAAAGGAAATTATTAGATTATTGGCTGGTGTAAAACCTAGAAATTCATGTAGAAGTCTATTTAAGAGATTAGAGATCTTAGCTCTACCTTGTGAATACATATTCTTATTAATGAACTTTGTTGTAAATAACCAAGAACTCTTTCAAACTAATTCTGCTGTACACAGTGTCAACAGAAGGAATAAAAATCAGCTTCATAGACCAATTGCCAACCTCTCATGCTTTCAGAAGAGTGCATATTATGCAGGAATCAAAATTTTCAACAGTCTACCATCAAATCTCACAAGTCTTGTAAATAAGAAGGAGCAATTTAAGGTAGCATTAAAAAGATACTTAATTACACACTCCTTTTACTCTGTCAATGAATTTATGTTGTTTACAAATAAGTGATAAATTTTTCTTGTGTGTAATGGGTAGATCTATTTGTAGCTTATCATTTCTCTAGGTGAATACTTTCTTTTGTATTATGTGAAATTTATATAATAGTATGAATTCTACTTTATAATATGTATTGTATCATTATTATTATTATTATTATGACTTTTTCCACATCCTATTGTTATCTGACTGTCTTATGGATCCATGGAATGTAAATAAATTATTATTATTATTATTATTATTATTGAATTGAATTATACATTTTTAGACTTTTTTGACTTCACAAGTATTATGGCCTTTATAAAAGAATAGTATTTGTATATATGTTTCTCTGTTATTTATTCTGGGCTTAAACACACATTAGTCAGTTACCTATAGCGTCAAGAAGCAATCAGCTGTTCTGTCTTCATATAAGTTAACAAAAGTTAATGACAATTGATTTCTTAATAAAATGTTGTTTTGGACTCTTGACTGTGACAGTTAAGTCATGTTTATGATACCATTACAAATAATGATCGTGCTCAAGATGTTGACTATGTTCAAGACTTTATTTGGGAATACAAACAGAGTAACATGGTTTGAAGAGAAGATTTCTTGAACAGATTCACTATTTCAAAGAAACTTTTTTCAAGTAACTGTTGAAGAAACAAATATGTTGAAGAGTTTTTGTGGGAACCTACTGAGAAGAAAGCAAAACAACAGAGAAGGTGTGCTGTCTGTTTCAAGCATGGAATGAGGATGGATATGCATTGTTTGTTGACTTGAAAAATAATTCAGCCTCTGCACTGAATAGATTGATGACTGCTATAACAAGCTGAATTACCAAGGTGCTGTCATGTTCATAAAATACAAATATTTGAAGACATTTCAAAGTTATTTTGCATTAATATTTAACTTGAAACCATGTGGAACCATTAATTTCATTTGTATAGTATTTTGAATCTAATGTGAAACTTGGAAAAGGTTCTAATAATTTAATCTGTACTTACAATGATTATGTTTTAAACTTTAAAGTCTTCTTGTTCTCAGTGTAGTGTCACTGTACTGGTGTAGCAACAGGGGTCACAGTGAGGATTCCACTGCTCTCTACCAAGTGTACCAGATTTTGTTTAACCACTGCCATCACCTTTGGATTGAACTTTGCTATACATGCTGTACTAGTGTGAATCTTACAAGGGAAAGATTTTAGAAAATTTACCTGGCTAAATCTACTGAATAGTGTTTGGGTAATGTTGAATGAGATTATCGACGGTGGTCTAGCGGTTAGAACGCTGGCCTTGTAATCCTGGGGTCTCGGGTTCGATTCCCGGCGGTGCCCGAATTTATAACTTGTGTTGGGCAAGGCCGTGGTCTAGGCAACACGGAGTTTTCCTCCGGGGGCTTCCCCGGTTTCTCGGTGGCATCCCAACAATTATTCCATTCACACACAGAAGAAGGCAATGGCAAACCACTTCTGGATCATCTGCCAAGAACGTATATGAACAGATCCCAGTCCGAGAAAAGGATGGAAGGATCCTGTTCATATGGACCTAAATAACTAAATAAATAAAAATGTTGAATGAAGGTTTCATATTACTTGTCTCAGAAAAACTGTTTAGGGTTTACTCAACTTTTTATGTTACATACAGTACATATTTACAAATTTAATGGAATGCTTCACCACAGATGTTTAACATACTTATTGTCACTGCATCCTCTTTCCTACAAAATTCACCATAGCTAGGCTGCTAGCTCGACATACTCTGCTGGACTCAGATGCTTGTTCATCACTGACTGTCTTTGTGTGTGATAGCAGACACTTACCTTTGTTAACTGTTATACAGCTCCAAACTGCAAAGGATTTTGTAGTCCTCTACCCCTGGTTTGAACCTAGTATGTTTTCTGGATATTGTATTGTGTTTGACAACAACGGGGCATATTCACCTCACAGACATCTGGTGAATCAGTTGTATTTGACTCGTGTAGGTAACTGCCTAAACTTTTAGGATTCTTTTACAGGGGTTTTTAAGGTAATTTCAAGTAGTTATATTTCCCTAACTCGCACCGTAAAAAGGTAGATATTTCGAAACCTCAATCAAAGCCTCGGACAGACAGACCCAACAGAGGACCGAATGGATTAGGAGAATTGAGGAGGCCATGGACCAAATACGGACCGGAGAGCCATAGAAGAAGAAGAAGAACTTCAATAGACTGTCTCATTCACCAACCTACACCATCTTGCCAGCCAGCTCTCTTGCCCAAGCATTGCTGCATAGCAGTCATATTTGAAGGTTATGTGTGTTTAATGGCAGTGACTTCCATAGCATTATTTTATTTGCAACTTCATAGTTTGGGCAAATTACATTGTACAAGAAAGTATTTTATTAAATGAAAGAATGATAACCATCAATCATTTATTTATTTGATTAATTTTAAGAAACCATTTATAAAATTAAGTCATTAGAATATAATCCAGGAAATATTTACTGTGTCTTAATTATTCTCAGTCTGGTCAACACAGCTATTCCAGCTTTGATGCTTTCAGCACTGGGGAGTTAAAAATGTTCATACCCATTTCACTGGTTGTTGATATGCTTTTCAGTTCATAAACCCTGATGTTTGTATAGTCTTGCAAATTCCATTAAACTGTGTTATATCTAACATTATGAAAATACTTACAGGTCTTACAGACTGGCATTTTCAATAGTATCATCCTTACAATGCCAGATTTTTTATTTGTTTTCCTATACATGTTTGTATTGTGGTTATATTTTATATGTGATATGATAGTGAAATCAATTAATAGTTTATTTATGTGGATGAAAGTTTGTTTTATTTTGATGGTGGTGATGACCATGACAGTAATGATGACACAGCAACAATAATAAATCAATCAATCATTCCTTTTGTTCTTGGTGTCATTGCCCAGGTCACTGCATGTAACAACCTCATTTTCTTGCCTTACATTCTTACATAATCATATGCTACAAAATCTTGATAACAGTCTTATTTTTTCTGTGCATTGGTACAAAATGTGTGTTATTAGAAGGGCCTAATGCTGGTTTTTTAAAATGAACAAGCAGAAAACATCAAACTGATTCCTAAGAAAAATGTAAGTTGAATTGCAAGTAAAAGTGCTAAAGATACAGGTATTTAAGATCATAATTTTATGTAGAAACTATAATGATTGTAATTTGTGTATGACCATTTACTGACATGAAAGAAAATCTTTTACTATAAAGCAATTATCAAATTACAGAGGCCTCTCTAGAACATCATCTTAAATGAGATTTGTCAACCACAAATCCAGGTTCTTTGAATTTTTTAAACAGTTTTCTATTTTTACTATGTGTAACTGAATTTATTTCTGAATGATTGTTGATATGTTCATCTTCTAGTCCTGAAGCATTGTTCTGCAATGTTCTAAAAGAGAAAAATAAATTTGCTATTGGTTCCAGACTTTTTGGACAAACTGTGCAATATACTGACTTTTGTTTCAGGTTACTATGGCATTGACCTGACCCAGATGCTAACACATCACAGTCCTGTGCTACGGGCTCGAAGTTGCACTCTTTTACAACTTCTTGGCCGATACAGTTGTAGAGCCTTACAGTTAAACTGGAACCAAAGATTACAAGAAGACTTGGAAAATCTGATGCATGACTCCAGTAAGATGGTTGAAGTGGTTAGTATCAGAACTGTTAATGTAATATATTGAGGCTTTTGTAACACTCTGCAATCCAATATGTATTTTCTTTGTGGTTTAGTGCAGTGGTATTCAACCTAGGATACGCGAAGACATATTAGGGGGTATGTGAAATTTAAAAAAAATATATATTTTATGATAAACACTGAATAATCAGTAATATAATTTATTTAATTTATTTTAGATGTAGATTATATATGATGTATAACTTGAATTACACACCAACAACTTTGGGGGTACAAAGTTGTTGGTTTAGTGTAGCCACCTATATGGTTTCTTTGTATTGTGGTTAGACATTAGGGCAACTTTACTTCCAATATGTATTTAGCAGAGTACATTCTGAGCATATCTTTTGTTAAGCATTTTTTGTGCCCCTGATTTTACCTAATCCATGGGAAATCACTTCCCAGATTTGATAAACTATAGTATGTTTTTATCTGCTGGGAACTAGATTATGGATTTGATGAAAAATATGTCTAATACTCATTCCATAAGTAGGATTCAAACCAATGATTCAGTACCCCAGCATTGATCAGCTTTAGGCCAAGCAGATCATAAGCACTGAAATCTCATTAATTTTCCCAGTTGCATTTGAAGTATTGGTGTCTGATAATTTGATTAGTCTTAAAATAACAACCTCCTTCCATCCTTTTACATATTTTACTCATTATACTACCAGAATTAGAAATCAGGAATGGAACTGAATGGGATACATCAGCTTCTGGCCCATGCTGATGATGAGAGCAGAATTTTATAAAAATATATGCTCATGCACACACACACACACACACACACACACAGATGTATGCAGACACATACATACATATTGTGCATTGACTTTTTTCCTTTTTCAGGCTGCAAAAGAGGCAGTCAAGGAATTGAAAGAGCTGCAGTTCTACTTCCAGAAGAAATGACTAGTTGAAGGTAACATAGCTTTTTAAATATAAATTATGCAGATGTTAAGAATTCAGTTCGAGCTAGAACTGGAGTTCCACCAGCAAAGTGATCTTCCTGAAAATTGCCGCTTTGTACAAAATACTCTTATTTAGCTTATTTTTCCCATGGTAAATAATATATTTTGTATTGCATTCATATTTTAGATAATAGCTATAAGAAAAGAGCATAAAATGATGTTTTTGATATATACTTTAATCCCATGCTATTTTCAAATTATATGCACGAAACTCTTCATTTATCTGACCAGTTTGATGATGTTAAATGAAATCTAAAAATATGTCATCTGAACAATATAAAAATCATATTTTTCCACAAAAAGGAATTTAAAAATCTTGTGTTTATGTTTTGGATTTGGTATATGAATAGCCCTGACTTAGGTCAATGGTAAAGCAGGAGTATCTGAGGGTATGGAGAGAGAAAGGTGTTGAGGTGGAGTCCAGACAACTTCAGGACATAGTATTACATTATGGAATGATAACAAGGAAACAAAACAGGTTTTTTGTGGGTAGAGTTAGGCAAGAATTGGACAAATAAAATCCTGAATTTTACATGGTACTTTGCTGTAGCATCCAGCAACAGCCACTTTATGGAAAAACTTTAAAGTTTGACCATGTTATGAAAGTTGTGGTGTCAATTGTGATCTTCATTTGATCCCATGGACTTTCTCATTGCCAGTGTCAATATTTTTGTTGGAAATTGATGCTCAATATGAGGATGTCTTCTCCCATACTAAAGTCCAATGGCTGAGTCATGAGACAGTATTGAAACATCTTTTAGCTTCTTGGCTAGAAATAGAACTGTTAATGAATGCAAAAGGTACAGTTGTGGCTGAACTTCATGATGAAAAGTGGCTTTGGGATTTGGCATTGCTATGTGATATGAACCTCCATGTAAATAACTTTTAAATACCAAACTTAGAGGTTAACAGAAATTTATTCTGATGTGTTTGGGCCTTTAAGAATTTTTGAGGTGAATCCGAAACTATTTTGGGAACAATTGAAAGATATTAGCCTGTGTAATTTTTCTTCCTGTGATTTTCTTCATAAGAATGGGTCACTTAGTGTCTGTCTGCTACAGAGTTCTATGACAGAATTTTAAAATGAGATTCAGTGACTTTTATAGCCATGCTACAGATATGTACACTTAAAAATCCATTCTTTGCTAAATTCAATAATGTCCCTTGAAAATTACAACTTGTATTGATAGACTCAATATTGCACAGTACTTTCAACCAGGAAGCTTTGATTGCCTTTTATGTTTCTTTATCAGTATCTGATTCTCTGAGTTACATAAATTACAATGAAATTTGGTGTGTTTGGTAACACATACACGTGTGAACAGGCATTTTTGTGTATGAAACAAAATAAATCAAAGTTACATTCAAGAATCACCAATGTGAACATATGTGATGTGAATTGGCATTTTGAAAATGGAACCAAATGTCACATCTCTTGTGAAGCAAAGACAGGTCCAAGTTTCACATTAATAAGAAAAGTTCAAATTATTTTTATTATAATGTTTAGCTTTATGCTGGTTATGTTAGACATGCCACATGCCAAAAAGGTTGATCACCATTGATTTATTAAAGTTCCCCCCCTCTCTCTCTCTCTCTCTCTCTCCCACTAAATCCCAATATTTTGGAAGTTGGTTCTACTTCCATATTCAGGTTGGATGACAGACCTGCATTTTGTTGGGCCTTTTGGTCAGACTAATCTTAATCTTGGACATCAAAGGTGGAATATTGCATTTTTATTGACTTCTCCATATGTCATGACAAAATGTATATATGCAAAATAAAAGTATTAATTCTTTCTTTTTTTATGAGTTATGTGACTCCTCATAACAAAGCATGCTGAACTTGGTTTTGAATAATATGTTCATTGTGTGCTTTCCAGTTCAAGCTATTATCACTTTTTATGCCAGGAAATTAGTTGGGCAGGTAAGCTTGCATGTCTGCCTGATGTAAAATTCACACTACTTTATTGGTTTTATTATCATAACATTTGTTTAGCTTTACACATGTTTTGTTGTTGCTAACAAATTTTTGTGAAGTAAAAATATTAATAATATATAGTGTTTGGAACTTTCCATTATTTTGTTTTCCATGTCATTCATCACTCGTACATCAAAATGAAAATGAATGTGAGTTTGAATGAATGTTTTGGATTCATTTCATTGTGGCAGCCTAGTATATAATAGATTGCAGTTACAGGAGTCTGAAAGTTTCAGCAATATTTTATCTTGTGTTGTTGGAGAGTTACTTCAGATCATCAGATTACTTGGAGATCTTTAAGCATAGTACATTTATTTTAGTATGAAGTAATATTCTGAGGTTTGCCGACATTGTTTTTTTGTGTAGAAATAATAAATCTGAATAATATATGGAAACTTCATTATTATTGCTTGTTACACATTATTCATAATAAAATACAGTAACTGAAAACTGTCCCGTACCGTAGCCGCGCGGTCTGAGGCATCATGCTTCGGACCGGTGATATGGAATGCGCGCTGGTTCAAGTCTCGGGGAAAGAAATTTCTCATGAGCTTTCGACCAGTGTATGGGATCGGTGCCAACCCAGCATCGTGAGGAAATTGGGGAGCTACAATGAGTAGCGTAATCTGGTCAGGAAAGCTAGCAATGGCTGGGGGTTCGTCGTGCTGACCACACGTCATCCTTTATCTGGTTGGATGATTGTTCACCTCTGCTTAGGCATGTGAACGTGAGGCCAGCAGCCAGCTAGTCGGCTTTGACTCTCTGGAGCTGTTAAGCCACGGATTATTATTAACTGAAAAACTATGTTTCTTGTGACTTTCCAGTGAAAGTGAATTAAAGTTATGAGATTGAATGTAAATGTCTGTAATGGAAACATTTTTCATTCATGTTTACCCAACCTCAACTGTTCAAAATGCTTTGGAGTACTAACCTTTTCTATGTATGATATAGTTTTCTTATAAAATGATCCATTACATTTCAGTAAGAGAATGCTGTACTGATTGATTTAGATGAAATGTTTGTACTTTTGAAAGGAATGGCTGAGAAATTTTCTCTTGGTATATAGAGTGTAGTAATACTAGTTTTAACCAGTTCACATACATTAATATTTAAAATGGAGACACTTCTCTGTAGTATCAGGGATGAGGTTAATAAAGCTGATATCACATTCTCACAGTGGTAATGCCTTGATGATAGAAGCAGTAAGTATCTCTGAAACGTCGGTCAGTTTCTACCAGGCAGCATGATGCAATATCCCAGTCACAATCAAATTCTTTAAAATTAACTGTTACTGTTATGCTACATTTTTGCCGGCACAGTGGCCATGCAGTCTGAGGCATGGACCTCGTGCGCCTGGCCGCCGCAAACTTGGGTTCGAGTCCCACTCAAGGCATGGATGTTTGTCCATGTCTGTGCGTGTTTGTATAGGTAGAAGCCGTGCAGATAGGGCTGATCACTTATGCAAGGAGTTCTACCAATGTCCAAAAATAGATCAATCATAAAACCTCCAAGAGAGGTAAAAACGCAGACCCGACAAATGCGAATGAAGAAATGAAACTGTTATGCTACATTTACATGGCGGGATTTTAAAGCGAGAGTCGGTCTCAAGTATCTGGACAGAGGTGTAGGAAGGTGTTTAGACGTTGAGAGAATATAGCTACTGTAGGTCTGAGAGCTTCTCTCATTAGAGCGAAATATAGCTATAAAGAGACAAAACTGGACTCCACGTAGAGATGACAGTGAACTGAGAGCCACCACAGGTCAGTGTGTTCGGAATATCAGACGAGCAACAACGTGTTGCTGCAGCTGTGGTAATTTTAATTCTTTTGAAGGTGAGAAGACAGAGAATATCACGGAGGCATAGTCATGGAGCATATTCATGCCTTGTCAGGGAGTTGTCGGTAGAAGATCCCATCCAGTTACAAAATTTGCATAGAATGTCATCATCAGATATAGAAGAAATAGTAAGGTGGATAGGACCGGCATTGAGCAAAGAAGATACGACCATGAGGAGAGCCGTTAGCGTGCAGGAAAGGCTGTTGGTCACATTACGTTTCTTGGCAACAGGTGTGTATGAAGGATACTGTATTTCAGTAACAGAATATGTTGTATAATAATCGTTACACATTTTTAAAACTATTTTGTTTACTTATTTACTTTTGGGCGATTCTTGCAAGTTGCAAGTTTAGGCTACTTGTTTCGGATACCTAAGTGCACAATCAGTGGTATAGTACCAGAAGTGTGGAAAGCAATAACAAATGCAATGACGAAACTAGGAATACTAAAGGTAAGTGCAACAAACCATGGAAACTAAACATAAATGCTGTTTAGAGTTTATTATTTGATATGTGATACAAAATAACATTTATTGATTAATATAATACATATATAAGTAGATAGATAGATAATGTATATTCAGATATCTTGGTAGGGCTCGTGTGCACTTGGTGACGGTGTTCCTGAACCCAGTGACAATGCTGCAGGAGAAAAGGACGAACCTGGTGATGGTCAGGGCGTGGATGGATCATCGTCTGCTGCTGACGTATCTAGTAATATGCGCATGATACTGCGCTTTGCTTGCCGCATTAGCAATGGGTTGCGTAGTGCACGTAGTTCTGCCGCAACAAAATCGCCAAATTTTTGGAGGTCGTTCCGAGGTGAATCAAAGATTTCATTGGCCCTAGCCATCAATTGATCTTCTTCCTGTTGATTATTTTTTAATCATTAAACATCGCAGTGTGAATGAATATGTTCCAAACGTGGTAGCGATATTTACTTACCTGAGAATTCTCGACTTGTTCCTCGGGTTCCTGTAGAGGTGGCGGCAGCTCATTTCCCACTGATGATCGAAGGGAAATACTTCCCTCAAGAAACTTCATATTTTCTTTGTACGGCCACTGCGATCTGTATGTGTCTGCTGTATCTTTACCTGACTTTTTGGTCCGTGCTTTCCGCAACTCCCCGGTGTACTGACACCTATATCAACGCATGCAAACTCCATGATTACGTTGCACATTCCATGATTACATTAACAAAAATGAAAGTACGAGGTGCGATCGGAAAGTTTCAAGACTGTGTCAATAGAGGGCGAACCGGATGTAGTACGAGCTTCTGCCGCTAGGGGGTGCGGCCTACATTCATAGTGAATCAGTGTGCCAGCCGGCATCATCGAATTAGCATTTGTTTCTTAGTTACGGGCGTTTTGGTAGTGCATTACACCGACCCTCCTGCGATTTCGGAATGGCGGATTTTCATGAACAAATCGTCGTAACATCAAAGAAGAACCTGAAATACGAGGTGCCTGAAATGGAAACTGCGTTGACCCGTATTTAGGACACAGCTTAATACATAAGCCTGCTTAAATGCATACGCATCTGTTGTACATATTTAGAAGGTTGGCTGAGTTATTTCAACCCGCAGGGCGATAGTGGTCTTCGCGTAAATTACCGCCAGTTAGAGGTCGAAAGAAACTGTTATCAGTTATTTGTGCTGATACGTCATAATCGATTGTCAAAATACGTAACAGTTTTGTGATGGACAGGGTGTCCCGGACTCTGACGGGGGCTGTCACGAATTAAACCTGTTAGGGTGACGGCTTTCTTGCAAACAACTGGACATGGAAATATCAGTATTGGTGTCCTGCAAGTTATTTCTCATCTCATAGGACTTCACGGCCCTTCCTCTAAGTAGGATTAATTCAGCTCAGAATTAAATCATACTACATGTGAAGATTTCCGTCTTCTGGGTTGTTGCGCTGGATCGCACCTCGTACAGGAATATTGGCTTCCGCAGTAATTTGTCACACTTGCCGGAGGTTATGCAGTTTCCTTTGAACTTCACGTACTGAAGTTTGAAACCTGGCTGCCATTCCCTGCAGCACTTCATTTTTTAAATTCTTGTCTTTGTACGATTTTTCAAAAACATCCCACAGACACGTTGCCGATTCGTACTCCTTAATCAAACGTTTCGTTTCTTTGGCAGTCCACTTCTTCTTTGTTTTCTTTGCATCCTCCATTTCTGCTCTCGCGAGAGTGAATAAAATTTCAGCTGTGTTGAACTTCGTAGAGCAGCTTTATTCAGAGTTTAGAGTGGTCACAGGCTGTATCGCTGTATGATTTGCACGACGAGAGCTGACCTCAGCTCTCTTCTCTCTCTCTTCTCTATTTAAACTTTAGACTTTAGGAAAATACCTGCTCTTACCGTTTACACGCAGGTACCTGACTATAATCCGTAACTCTGTTCTCCAAACTCCTGCCGTGTAAACGTAGCGTTGTATTGAACAGTGAGGGTAGAATATGTTGGATGGTAGTTAACGTTGTTATCGACTGTTCGCCACATCTTCTTTACGGTAGCTTCACGGTTTGCCGATAGATGGTAGGACAATACTTGCCGTAATAACAATTTATGTAGAACATCTACTGCCACTGTATATTCAATGCATGTGAGTTTTCTCATCTTCATTTCTGTATCTGTTAGTGTCACTTTGCGACTGTTGTCATATTTCGTCTGTGGTTCGAAGGATTTTTATTAGAGTTCAGGGATATTTATAAGTTAAGATATTCATAAACATATAGAAAATGCATGCAGTGAAACGTGCATACGGAACAGTTGATGTTGAAAGTGTTTGTCGACTGTGTTCATCGAACAGTGGTATAATAGTTTTAAATATATTTGATGGCGAAGGAAAGAAGCGTCGCATATTATCACTTATAAACGCCTGCTTACCAGTGAAGGTATGTTTGTTGCTGTTCAGCCAGTGGATTCATCGCGGTTACCTATTGTAACTCGTCCTGCTAAATATCTTCATAACTAAAGTGCGTGCGTTACATTAGTGTGGTAAAGATTAATTTAAGCAATTGGTAGATTATGGAGTACCACTCCTGCCATACATGAGGCCCGGTCAGTGACGCAGTAATACTTTTAACTTTTATCGTTAAATTATTTAATATTAAAGGTGGTACATGACATTAATCCGGTAGAGATTAATTTAAGCAAGTGATAGTTCGAGCAGTACCACTTCTGCCGTGCGTATGAGGCACGAGCAGTGATACATTAAATATAATGAATTCTCGGGCTACCAGGTAGAATTCATTATACTCAGTTGCCGTGAAGGCTTCAGATGATGCATTAAGTAGTTTTGCTCCATTAAAATTAGTGCTGTGCACATTTTAATTTTGCTGATATTGAGGAAATAACTGGATGTTGCTGCTGAGTATGGATTGGTAGCAGTTTGTAGTTATATTGTTGATGACCCATGGTATTTGCCTGCAACTCTCCATTTCTCTCCCATCAGTTTATGAATAATAGGTAAGATAGCTAACCAAAATTTGGTGAATTTTATCATGTTAGTGTGACAGTTCTCATGTTATATTAATTCAGTTTAGTTTGTTTTCTGTAGATCAGCTATTCTGAAACCATTGGGAAGAGTGTCACATAGGGTTCCATGGCCTAATTGTCAATTTTACTCATATCCCCATGCTCATATTTTCCTCCTGCCTCAAGTGAAACAAAGCTTTTTGCACAAGTCTGTTATAAACCAGATGTTTTGGAGAGAACTTCTGTTATCAGTTTCTGTTTAAGTTGTAGTGCCATGTAGTCTGGTCAAAATGTACCAACATTTCAGAGGTGCTTAATGCCTCCATCATCACCCTATTAGTGGATGTTGTAAGTACCTCTGAATTGTCAGTAAACTTCTACCAGACTACACAATACTACAACCCAGATAACAAGTAGGATTTGAGGTTCACATGGCAGTGAATACTAGTTGGCTGTTTTCCTGTTGGAAATACGAGGCTCGTCCACAAAGTAAGTTTCCCTGGGGCCGTTTACAGAAACAAAACACATTTTCATGGAAATATTTATTGCAACAGATACAGCAAGTGTCGAGCTATTTTTCAACATATTCGCCACCGGAATTGAGACATTTGTCATACCGTGGGACCAACTTTTGAATACCTGTGTCGTAGAAGTCTGCCGCCTGGGATTGGAACCACTGTGTGACAACCATCTCCGCCTCTCTGTCATTCTCAAAACGCTGACGCTGACCGGACAGGAATTTCTTGAGGTGTAGGAAAAGATGGAAATCACTGGGAACGAGGTCCGGGCTGTAGGGTGAATGATTAAACACCTCCCAGCTGAACTCCGGCAGGAGACTTGCTGTCCGTCGAGCCGTGTGCGGCCGAGCGTTATCACTGTGGGACGAGTGGGAAACTTACTTTGTGGACGCGCCTCGTAAGTCAGAACAGGTTTTATGAATATTTTGTATTGGTTGTCCATGTTGGGAGCTGTTGGGTGAAGTTGATTTTTGTCTGTGTGTGTGACAGTTCCAGTAAAAACTCCTACTCTATGTGTAGCTTTATTACTTTCCTCAAATGTGGCCTATTGTACAAAGAATTGTTGCATCACGTTAAGCTATACAACCTTCACTTAAAACTTTCTTTGGCATGTTGTTTATGTAACAAAATAAAATCTTAAGCTATGCAGTATGGTGTTTGTAGTATTGGTAGGCTTTGCTGCAGTAGAGTTGTATATGCCCATGATTGGTGGTTCCCTGTCACCATATCATGGCATGTCCTTAGGTTGCAGATGGAGGAACGACCTCCAGTTATGGAGGTTAGCTGCGAATATATTGAATAAGCAGTCGTGGACAGCCAACAATGGGTGGCACTTCAGCTTGGGGTTGGGCGTGAGGCCAACAACCTTTCGTCGTAAAAAACAAAAAGGATTTACAAGAACCTGAAGATATAAGAATATACAAAACAATAATTTTGCCTGTTGTTTTATATGGGTGCAAAACATGATCCATCTCTCTGAGGGAGGAATGCATATTGCAGGTGTTTGAGAATAAGGTGTTGAGGAGGATGTTTGGGCCTGGGAGAGAAGATGATGGAGTATGGAGAAAACTGCATAATGATGAGCTTAAAAATTTATACTCCTCCCCAAGTATTGTCAGGCTGATTAAGTCAAGAAGAATGAGATGGGTAGAGTATGTGGCATACATGAATGGGGCAAGAGGTGTGCACCGGGTATTGATTGGGAAGCCTGAGGGGAAGAGACTGCTTGGGAGACCTAGGCATAGATGGGAGGATAATCTCGGGCAGGATCTATGGGAGATAGGAGTTTAAAGAGACTGGATTTTGTTGGCCCAGGACAGGGTCTGGTGGAGGGCTTTGGTTAATTCAGTGATGAACCTTCGGGCTCCATAAGCCATCTAGTTACTTAGTTAGAGTTGTATATGCCATAATAGATTTATATTTGCAACAATTGAATCTGAGGTCATTGATGCATGCAAAATTTTGAGTAATGCACTTGGAAAATGGTAATACTTCATATTAGAGGGTTTTTTTAAATTATATTCTTGTTTGAGAATTTCATTTCTTGTTTTTTGATTTCAGTGTAATTTAGTTTTTGAAAACTGGAACATGTGTTAGGAATGATGTGACTTCTTGATTATCCATTATATTTTACACTGTAATTAATGAAATATGTTTCTATGCTGTTACATTTTGGTTTCAATGTGCTTATTTTTAATTTATTCTCTTAGGTTTCAGAGAATGATCCTCTTCCAAAAGTAATATGTCATCATTGTTTACACAAACTTGAGGTATTCCATGAATTTCAAGAAAGTTGTTTGAAATCAGAAGAAACATTGAGGAATGGTGTAACATGTACAGAAACATTTCTGGAATTTAAGACTGATTCTCAGGAGTATGCACATGAATGTGAAGACACAGTCTCACAGTTTCCAACAGAATTGCTGCCAGTACAAGATCCATTTTCACCTAAGCAGTGTACAACAGCAGTAACACCACCAACAGAGGTAATTGCATTGAAATAGCATGTTTCTAACTTACAAGTAGTATTGTTAGTAATAATAGTGGGACTTGCGGACATTTGCGCTTTTATTTATGAATAACATTGAACTTATAACTGCTTGAAAGCTTCTAGTTTTCTGTTGTTTACCTTTAAATAAACTAATAAATATTAGAGTGTGTCAATAATAGCTATAAAGAATTACATGCAATAAGCTGCAAGTCATGGTTGTTGTTTACTACATATAGGACAGTGGTTTTATGGACAGTAATGCAGACCACAACACCAAGAATCCTCTAAGAGTGTTGCCATTGAAACGGTGATAATTTAAACATAACACACTACACTAACATATAGTCATATAGAAATTCCTAAGTACCATTACCATGACAGTGACTAATAATTTATATATATAATGGACACAGTCATAAATAATCTCCTATTAATATAATAATTATGGCAGACTGTCAGATACTAGAGAGAAAGTGGGAGTACAATGGCACAATCCATCAACTACTCATAGACTTCAAGAAAGTCAATGACTCAGTTAAAAGAGGAACACTTTACAATATTTTACTTGAATTTGATGTACTTAAGAAGCTAGTCAGGTTAATTAAAACATTTAGCAAAATTTGTGTAGGTAGCATTTGTCCAATACATTTCCTATTCAGATTGGCCTGAAATGGAGATGTACCACTGCTGCTTTTTTTTCAGTTTTGCCTTAGAATATGCCATCAGAAAAGTCCAAGAAGATCATGGTAGTTTGGAAATGAATGGGACACATCAGTTTTTGGTCTATGCTGATACCTGTTGGGTGATAATATAAATACTATAAAAGTGAACACAGAAACAGTTAAGGGCAAAAAACACAAAGTATATGATCATGTTGCAGCATCAGAATTCAGGACAGAACCAGAATATAAGGATAGCTAATGAATTGTTAAAAAATGTGACAAAATTCAAGTACTTGGGGACGACACTAACAAGTTATGGCATTCATGATGATGTTGATGCTGTGTTTGGCCACAGCTGACTTACCTGGATGATTGAACTGGATATGGTGTTGGTGCTTCTTGACCCTGGTTTCAAGGGAACATCCAGTTTGTCCAATTTAAACCATCTCACTCAAAAGGTATGCTGTACTCGCCCGGTGTTTTAAGGACCAGGCTGCATGAAACTGGAGATTTTCCTTGGCAGCATCCCCTCAATATTAATTTGCATTAGAAGGATGCTCTCCAGGCACATTAAGACACTAGATATCCTGTCACGGAAGATTTCCAGTTTCCTTTGGCCCATTAAGATTGATCCTGATCTTAAAACACCATGTGGCAAAGCATCCCCAATGAGTGTCTGCGTATGTTCTGATGCTGGAGGCAGAGACAGTTCTGAAATGCTGGAATGTAACTCATACTTGCACAGCAAATTGCCTGAGAAGACTTCGTCGTTCAGTTACCTTGAAAGCTTCATAACTAACTGGCTTTGTCACTTTCATTGCATGTGCTGCCTATATTCTTAAACATGCTGTATGAATGAAATGGTTGATGATGATCATCCGTATGTATTCCTATTAGTCACCTGCATGTTCATCAAACCTTGTTTATTCAGGTAGTATTTGAGGAAAATCAAAATGTGACAGTACAGTGTACTAGATAAGGTTTTTGAACTAATTGAGAGTGAAATACTCTAAAACATCATAATTAAATTAAATACCCCTAAGTATTATAGCTTTGTTAAAAATATATATGCTTTCAACATCTAATAAAGCCCTTAAAAGATCATGTTAGTTCAATGTGTAAGGCTTAAGGTTTTCACGTTTATGTGAGTTAAGACAGTCTTTGGTTGCATATTAACATTTTGGATGATCTTTACAGTTGAAGTGAAGATTGTTAGGAACTAAGTGGATAAAAGAAGGTTCAATCTAGGATCATGAGAAAGTAATGCCCTCTTGTTATAACTTCCTTCCATTCTTTCATGTATGGATAAGAATTTCTGTGACATGCCCACAGACAGTCCATCCTCTCTGTTCATGTTGGGCTGGTTTTGAAGATTCACTGATGTTCCCAACTTGATCCTTGAGGAAAAAAAGTTGACTTTCAGTTTGACATTGATTAGCAATGAATATTTAGAGCTAGACACATGGAATTTTGTGTGAAGGTACATCATATACATATCCACTGCTCAACATGTAAAATATTGACTGAGCTCTCCCGTCTCTATTTGAACATAGTACACATAGGTAAACATTTATGCTTTCCCAATTTACTGTGAGCTAACAGAAGACTGCTCTATTTCTACTCCTTTTTTTTAAATTTTTGTACAAACTATAATGTCAGTGTAAGGTAAAGATAGAAAAATTGGAATTTAATGGCCAGTGAGATTACTACATTGGGTGAGAATATGAACACCATAATGAATAAGGTTTAACTTCTATCAAAGAAAGTGGTCAAGACACATACATATTACAGCCAAAATTTGCAATTGTGGTCATAATATTACTATGTAAGTTATTTGTACATTTTTCAGACTTCTAAGTCTCTGGGAACAGTAATAGATGTATAATTTATGGTGCTTTTAGGACAAGCATAAATTCAGAAATGCTTTGTGTTATTCAGTTCAGAAACAGCTATCTTCCTATATACTTTCCAGAAACACCCAAGATGTGTTAAATAGTAACTTTGCCCTTGTGTTGTGTGGGTGCAAAGTTACTTTTACCCTGAGGGAAGAATATAAATTACAAGTGTTTGAAGTCTAAATGCTAGGGAAAATAGTTGGACTCAAGAGGGATAAAGTAAGTGAGCAGCGTAGGACATTGCATAATAAATTTTATGGGCTGGACATGTAACATGCAAGGGATGCATGCAGAGTTTTTATGGGGAATCCTTCATTAAAATGACCACTGGGCAGACCAAGAAGGAGATGGGAAGATAATATCAAGATGAATTTAGGGAGGTGGGCTGTGAGGATGGTAAATAGATATTGTTGGCTCAGGATCAAGTCTGGTGGTGGGCTTTGGTGTTGTCGGTGCTGGTCCTGAAGGTTCTGCTACCTGGGATTTCATTAGTCAAATTTACATCGAGTTGGTTAGTCTTATTTACTTCAATTTTGAAACTTTTGCTGTTTCTTTCTCTACAGTTTCCATATTTTTAATCTTTTCATTTCTATGAATCTAGGATTTTAACTATATGAATGAATTCATGTTATTGCATATAAGAGTAATGGTAAGTAATAGTTATGAGGTGCTAACCCTATATAGTTTCTTGTTGTGGTCTAAAGGTAAACTGAATTTTGTTGTCTGTTTCTGCACTAAATGGGAAAACATGAAAGCTTTAAGCCGTTTGTTATGTAAAACATTGTAAACATTATTTAATTTAATGTAGAATTATGATAATTTATGATTTTAGCTAATAAAAGTGGTTTAGCTAAAGGAATGTGTTTTAATTATTATTGTGCCTGTTTAGCTTACAGAAGAATGTACTACTTAACCCTTTGAAGCTGAGTTCATCTAAATAACATTTACAAAATTTAATTCTTGCCTCATGAAACAGCACATCTCCAATATAAAAATTATTAACTTGGTTCTCATGCTATGTAAGGAAATAATCACTGTCTATTCTGAGAATCATACAAAACTTACAAATACACTATTTGGCAAGATGCAGATATATTAAATGTTAAAGCAGGTGGTGCATAAAAATGTCACTGGTTTTACGGTGTTAAAGTGATATTGCTGAAGGAATATGTATGTTGTGTCTGTTTAGCGTTCAGAAGAATGTACAGTAGCTGAAAGAAGAGATGTCTTTGAAAATTCGCCATCTGGTAAGGTAGAAGTAATAATGGTAAAGGAAGAACCTGATGAAAAGGGTACAGAAGTTTATGAAGATAAAGGGTGGCATCATACAAGTCTAGTAGAAGATAATATGCAAACTGAACAAACTGAAATTGATTTGCTGCCTCTGGATGATGAAGTAAAGTCTGAAAGTTGTACCACAATGGACCCTCCAGTTATCAGGTAATGTGAAAGATTATTATTTATTTTAATTATCTTACATGTTTCAATATGTTTACACATACTGTGCATGCAAATGTTGAAAGGGAAAATCCTGGTAAGGTAACTGGTGTAAGATTGGGGGGGGGGGGAATTGAATCATAGTACCAGAATGAAGTGGTACTTCTGTAAGTGGGATGGTAAGAGGAATATCTTGTGGCTGGCAATGTGAATCTTACAGAGCAGTTTTACCACTATATAGCACATTGTGATTGTGGCATATGATATGCAAATTTTCCATTTCTGAATTGTGAAGCTTATAATAAAATCTCTGATTTGAAAGACTTCAGTTTAGTAGTAATTCTGCTGTTCACTGTCAACGCGTGTGGAAGAGGCATTTGTATTGGTCTGATATGACTTGTTTAAAACTATTGGAATATTTTGTGGTATTGCTTCCAATTTACAAGTCACTTACTAATTAGTGGGTATTGAAAAGATAATATCTGAATCTTAACTGAAAATTTGGTTTGGGTACAGTAGAGAAGAGCATTCATGTGAGGATTTATTCAATAACAAAACTGAGAAAATTATGTTTTAACCATATGGAACATTTTCAATAACACATTACTTCAGTTATGCAATTTTCTTTGTGCTTTTCTTTTCCACTTTTTTTGTAAACAGTTTTGTGTTCTTAATATGTAAATACTTCTGCTCTTATGATAAACAATTGTATAAGCTTGAATTTTACGCAGAAACTGTTTCTTGAAATGGTTACATGATTAACTTCAATGAAATAAATTTTATGTTTTGTATATTTTTGCATGGGAATATTGAGTCAGACATATGACAGAATGGTTGCCATTCTGGGCAGCATCGAGTTACTTGAATGAATTATTGTTGGTTAATATCAGCAGATGGAAGAAGAATCTTAATCCTTGAAATTTCAAGTCCTTGTCTTTTTGATGAAATGTCCATACACAACTTCTCTTTTGTGAAGTATATGAATATACAATAGTGTTGTTCCCGAACACAGCAAAAATGTCTTCACAAAAGAGGAAGTGTGTGTCCTCTGATTTTGTTGGGTTTTTACCATGTGAAGGTTTAAATGAAAGCAGTGATATTTATAGTGAGGTTGAAGCTAGTTTTGAGTTGGACAATGAAAATCAAGTACCTGATGGTGATTTCTAGAGTCAAGAGAATGGTGGATGTGAGGTTGTACCAAGTATTTTAGACACAGTAAATTTACAATTGTAAGTGATGCATCTGGCATAAATTGCTTTGAATGTGGCACACATTCTGATGGACTGCCCATGTTATGCTGAAACCCACGACATTGTGTCATCTTCATGGCACACTCTCTGACATGCTTGGTTTAGAGTCTGTGATATTTTGTCTTTTATGACTTCAATAAGGCTTTCCACATCAATCTTATGGATAGGGTTTTTGCATTGGACTAGAATTTTAGTTTTTAGTGGTATTAGAATTCTCTCTGTTTATCAGTATATACACTGCTAGGCTTCCTTACAGCTTGGCATTCTTAAAACTAACTTACGTTTTAATGGAACTCTGTCACATGTTAGGAACATTGCTCTTTTAATCCTAACTTCACAGGCAGGCCTCCATACAGCCTTGCCTGCGGGGTTATCAGTTATCAAATTGTTTATTTTTAAGTGTATGTATACTGCCAGGCCCTTCTACAGCCAGACAATTTTATCAAACACAGCTATGTTTTGGTAACATTGTCATTTTATTTTGAAGCCCACTGTCAAGGGTTCTGTATCCAGCTCCAAGTGTATACAGGCACAAATAGCCGTAGAAGCTGATGCACCTCTGTAACACC